GACAACATTTGGACCCTGTCCATGCTCGCCACCTTTTACATCTGCCCAATGGCATCAGCCACTCCTGACTGGTTTGCATTTTGAAACCCTAGCAGCAGAATTTACTCCGAGTGCTATTGCTGCAGTTTTTTGTATTCTTAAAACTAGCAGTAAATCACAGAATTGGTAAGGACTAGTTAAACCACTGAGTTCCATCTCTTTCTCTGTTCAGAACCCAAGTTAACATAGCACGACAGAATACCTTAAATGTGTTTTCCCTGAAAAAAGTGGCCTGTTTTATTTCTATCATGGTAGGACCCAGGTTCTTTGATACAATTATTGGTGGGACATAGCACAGAAAAGGTTGAGGATTGCTTGTGATTACTGAAAATATCACTTGTGTTTTCCTTTATCCCCCTATTCCACAGGCCACACGCAATACTGGCAAAAGTATTGCGGGCAAGAACATTGCGAACCCCACAGCAATGCTCCTCGCCAGTTGTATGATGCTGGATCACCTTAGGTATGTAGTCTGAGGGTAAAATGAAGGACCAGAATATACTGATGGATTCCTAAGAGGAAAGATGACATCAGAATGAATAAATACATGCCCCAGAATCTGCTGCCATGATAATGGGGATGGGAGAAGAGAGACTGATTTGGGTTGCTGCTCCTAAGAAAGATCTGTCATCCATTGCAGATTGCACAGCTACGCGTCTGTGATCCGCAAGGCAGTCCTAACCGCCATGGATGATGTGGAAGTGAGTTGCTCTTATCCTGCTTTGGACAATCCTTGATCAAAAACATTGGGAAGTGATGAAAGTTTTTTTTTTTTTTAAATCTGGTCGCTTCTCCCTGGACTTTAAGTTACCAGTGTCCTTAAAATCCCCTGGAGAACTGGGAATGGGTTTCTTGATATTGGAGGGAATCTCTTTGGGTGTATTGGCCATAATAAACATTATATTACACAACATACTGGAGGGAGCAGAACCAACATGTTTTCCTATTCCAGGATGGAATTAAAGTGCTCATCATAATTCCCTAGAGAGAAATTGGCAGCAGAACCTAAGCTCTTTGAGTTTTCTCAACTAAAATGGTTGCATAGTAGATGAAAACTGACAGCCCATTTGATGTAATGGTTAAGGTTCCAGGCTAGAAACCAGGAGACTGTGAGTTCTAGTCTCATGTTAGGCATGAAGCCAGCTGGGTGACCCTGGACCCGTCACTCTCTAAGAAGCAGGCCATGGCAAACCACTTCTGAAATTTTGCCAAGAAAACTGCAGGGACTTGCTCAGACAGTCACCAGGAGTCAACACTGACTTGAAGGCACCAAAAGAAAAAGAAAAAAAGTGGAACCATTTTTCTGAATATAAGGGTGGATTGATAGAAAATCTACATAGCATTATAGGGCCAGTTGGATTTTTTGGAGAGCTTCTCCAAGAGTAGAGAGTGAAATCTGTCCTCACAAGCCTTTGATCTGCAACAGTGGAAAGAACTGCAACTGGTCCTTCTCTAATGATGGAATTTTGACATTGGAGAGGACAGAAAGACATACCAGAAAAAGCCATGGGATTCACGGGATGTCACATTCTGTTTCTTGACTTCCTCCCCAAAGTTGTGGGGCAGTACATCAACATCCCAACTGTAGACAATGTGATTCATACTGGTCCCTTTGGGTACAGCAGAAAGGCAATTGAAACCAAGAATGTAAAATCCAAATCAAGAAAAGTCCGCCCCCTCCCACTCCTGTCTGCCTGGTGACCACCACCAAAACCTAAGGAGGGGAATTCCACCTTGGGTTTACTGTGCCTAAGATTAATGACACGTGCATGTCAGATAAGCCTAAACACATTCTTCGTACATCTTACTTTACCTTGGGAGTTCCCAACCCATCCTTACTATAACATTTCTTCATTCTCT